CTTTCACAGGCACCAGGTTATAGAACTTCAACATATCTTTTTTTTTTTTTGAGGAACACAAGTCAACTTACAACAGGTCCTAAAAACTAGTGGGTGTTTTCACTTACCCCAAGTTCATTGTGGAGGTCATTGTGCACTACGGCTTTGCATCTGTAAACTATCTCAAGTCCAAGAGTAGTCAGGAAGGCAATACTCTGATGGCCACCACATATATGGTCCTCAAGCCCTTCCTCAGCCCCTCAGCAGCAGCCTCAAGAACAAAAATGAAGAATGCCCCAAAGAAGATCTTTCTATTTCAGCAAACTCTATCCCTTAAGCACCTGAGGGGCTGTTGTGAAGGTGGTGCGAAAGCATGACGCACAGATGCTGTTCTGTCTTCCCGTAATTTGTGAGTTAGTAATGCCACTTTGAGATTGTGTAAGGATGTAAACATGGGTAAACAAATTGAATTGTATGAATACAACACAATATTACTCAGCCATGTAAAGGAATGAATATCTCTGTATGTGTGCCCAGGGCCATTTTTATTCATCACTTTGTCCCTGGAGCCAGTCTACCTAGATGAGAATCTTAGATCTGCCACTTCAAGCTGTGTAATGATGGGCAAGTGAGATTCTCTGTTTCCTTCCTCACCAGGCTCTTGTGAGAGTCATAGAATGTTCTATGCTCTGTACAGCTCCAACCACATAACAAATACTTAATGCACTGTAACCATTTTTAGGAATAACATATTTAAAACTTCTTCTTGGAAAAAATTGAGTACCATGCTATCCCTCTGTCAATCAAGGAGATCTGAAGAAAGGCAATGCTCTTGGGACAAAAACTTTCCCACAAGGGTGCTAGACTCAAAGGCTCCACTAGGCAAGATGAGCTAATTGTATTTGCTCTAACAAGATACTCTGGGGATCACACCTGGAGGCCAGAGAGTCTGATATAAACCTGGAGGTGTGGTTCTGCTGTGTGCTCACTGGGAAAGCGTGATCCTCCTCCACAGCTGCAAGACACATTTGAGGCAACAGCCCCAAACCCCTGGAAACAGGACACCAGGGGGCTGAGAGGTCCTGGAATCCAACAGAGATACAGTAGCCATTGGTCTCCTAAGTGACTCTGAAAGACAAGCTGCAGTGGAGCTGGTCTCAGGGAAGTTCCTCTGCACCGAACTTCCCCTCAGAGGTTGGGGGACTCTCTGCTCAGTTTCATCCACAAGGACTTAGGGTGCCTGGCATCAGAACCCCATGGGTGGGTAGGGTTATTGTGAGCTGATCAAGAGAGTGGACACTGGTTGGACCAGAGGCCCCTGCTGGATCCAAGTTCCATCCAGGTTTTAGGTTTGGAGCCTCAGCTGCCTGCTTATTGTTTGGCTGAGCATTAAATGGGATTATATGTGTCAAGTGGTTAGCTCAAATGTGGATTGCATGGAATAAATGTCTTTGTCCTGCTTAAAGTTAATCGATTAGTGCAGGTGCTCTGGGGGAGGAGAGAGTTCAGGGGAATTTAACCTAGTTTGGTGATGTTCAACTGGGAGTGATTTCTGCCACTTCACAGGGTCCTTGCTCTCAACCACTAAGAGATATTAACTCTCAGAAAAATACAGAAGGTTCAGTGTTTTACATATTAGCCAATCACATCTTCACAATAATTCTATGGTGCAAGTACTGTTATTATCCTCATTTTATTGATAAGAAAACTAAGGCACAGAGAGATTAAGTAATTTGCCTAATGTCACACAGCTCCTAAGTGGCAGAGCTGGATTTGAAACCCAGGTTGTCTGGATTCAGAGCTGATGTTCTGAACTACGTTTTATCACTTATTTTTATTTAAAAAGTCAAATCCTAGAAATGTTTAGGCTGTTTTGGGGGGTTTATTTCTTTTTCCCTTAGCCTTAAGGAAGTATAATTGACAGAGAAAAATTGTACATAATGAAGGTATACAACTGATGTTTTGATATATGTGTATGCTGTGAAGTAATTGCAATAATCAAGCTAATTAACACATCATTCTTTATTTTGATAGCATCACTAAGAATTCCCACTAATAGAAACAGTTGTCCATATTACATGTTGAGCATAGATTTAAGCCCCTTATACAAATTTTTCCCACTTAATCATTATAATGATCCTAAGAGGTTAGAATGATTAATTTCATGTAACAGATGAGAAAACTATGGTTCACAGAGATTAAGTGAGAAGCAGCTTGAAAGATGGGTGTGAAAAAGCAATGAGGTGACTTGTTTTCACCCCAGGAATCCACCCACTGTTGATGCCCCTATTTCTGCCCTTAGAACTGCCTGGCCATGGGCAATCACACCCAAGTCTCTGAATTCATCCTTCTCGGCCTCTCTGAGCAACCACTGCACAGGCAGATATTCTTTGGTTTATCCTTCGGCCTGTATCTAATTGGGTGCATGGGGAATCTGCTCACCATCCTAGCCATCGTCAGGGACCCTCACCTCCACAGCCCCATGTACTTCTTCCTCAGCAACTTGTCTCTTCTCGACATCTGCTTTACATCCACCACCATCCCCAAGATGCTGGTAAACCACATGTGCGGGAACACCACCATCTCCTTCTC